AATCCAGAGAAGGTGGACCGGCTGTGTGCCCTCTTCACCGTAACAACACACACACACACACACACACACACACACACACACACACGTTTAATGACACTCGTGGTGCAGTGATGGTGTTTCGTGTAATTTAAGAAGGGAACAGTTGAAAAGCTGAGGATCTAAAAGTGAGGAAGCATTGCCCCCTGTTGCTCTGCAGCAGAATCAGTCTGCAGATCGTTTGATGCATTTTTGCTGCACTAAAGCTCCCAACGTTCACTGATGCAGTTATTTGAATTCTTCAGTAATTACAAAAACTCAATTGAAGTCAGTATTATAAGGTGAATGCATGATTTACATGTAAGTCACAGGGGAGATGAAACCAGACGTGCTTAAATGATTAAGCTGGTTAAATCTGAGCGTTCCTGTTTCAACCCAAGCTGGAATCAGTCCATATATGTCTAAATTACACACATATTTATAAAATGAATAAAACAATCCACTGATGCAGCAGTCTAAGCAGAGCTTCTTAGTCCTCCTGTCTCCCTGGGCCTCCTCCAGCTCTTCCAGGGCTTTCCCAAACCCAGCACACCCAGGACAAGCTGATCGTTACAGCCTGTCCTGCGCCCTCGGGTTTCCTGACATATCTGAACAACTGGCTAATTTTCATGAAGCTCCTCAAACTAAATATCTCTGAAGCTGAGCCCAGTCAGAAGATAATTTCCTCTGAAGCCTTATTCTTAGCTCGGGAGCCATAAGTGAGAAACATAGACCGACCGGTAACAACTTCACCTACCCGCTCAGTGAGTGGTACAGCATCCACATCAGTCTGTCTGGCAGTCTCCTGCTCCAATCTTCCACAACTCATGAACAAGATCCAGAGAAACCTGAGCTTCTTAACTTGGGGCAGGAAATCATTCCTCTCCCGGAGTGCTAGAAACCACGATTTTCCTGCTGAGAAGCAGTGCCTCAAGGTGGAAGTGTTAATTATCATCCCACTGTGTTGCATTTGGCTGCAAAACCTCCCCAGCTGGAGCTGGAGATCACCTCTGACTGGACCAGCAGCACCATCATCTGCAAAAAACAGCAAAAGATGTGATCCAGGAGCTCCTGGCTCCACATCGGAGTTCTGTCCATAAACGTTACAAACAGAAACTCAGAGCACAAACCTTCTTTAATTGTAAGAAAAGCTGAAGCTGGTGGATGATGATGATGATGATGATACTTTTTTCTTTTTCTCACAGGATCTGAGTAACAAAGACATGAAGAGAGATCTCTATATTATCTCACAAGTTATCAGGACAGGTAAGTTATGTTATGTAGGTGGAAACAATTCCTGCAGAAATGCCTGAAATAACAGAATAACTTTGTCAAGTTTATAATGTGCACCTTTATTAACCTGAAATGAGCCTTTCTCATTATGTGACGCACACGCTTCTGGTTACAGGTCGAATGCTGCTGAATGACAGTAAGAAGGGTCCCCCGCACGTCCAGTACCGTCGACCGTATGGCTGTGCGGTCCTGGCCATGAGCGACGTGCTGCAGACCATCTCAGAGCTCAAAGAGGAGAAAGATTTTGTCCTTAAAGTGTACACGTAAGTGTCTGCACTCGCAGATAACGAGGCAAGAGAAAATACTGAGGGTTCACCACAAGTAAAGGCCTGATTAGACTCACAGCACAGGACTCGAACCTGTGGTGAAGCAGTGACACAGATATGAGTCGCTGGTGTTGATCGATGATGTGACAGGAGACATAAGCAGACATATGAATCCTAAATGAAGTGTACAGATCTCAGGTTTAGTTGCTGGACAGATGGACAATGACCCAAGTAAAAAAATTGCAAATGCAACCCCGGGTTTAGGAAGGTAAAGAATCAGCTGATCTCAAACCTGCCAGCATTTCATTTACAGAGAAAACTAAAGGCGGGAAGAAGCAACAGCTAAACACAGCTGCAGTCAGAAGCTGGCAGAGTTACAAAGGAGGAAACACTCACTCGTAATGAGTTTGGGCCGGAGAAGGTCGGTACCTGTAAGGGGTTCTTAATTAAATATTAAAAAGTAAACAAAATGTTTACTTTTTAAATATTTTGTTACGATTATGCTGATATGTCCGGGTACATGTGACCCTCGAAATAAGAGGACTGTTGTTTTTTTTGGTAAAGTGCTGATATTAAAGCTAAAAGTCTTTGTTTTAAATCCATATTTATCATATTACTGTATGTTTGAGTGAACTAAAATAGCAAAAGTGCCCAAAAATATCAGCTTACAGCACAAACTCAACACACCCAGAGCTCAGAGATGATATTTTCTTTTTGGAAAATCATTTTGTCCTATTCTAAATATTTCTGGGCTGAGAGAAAAGGTCAGAGAAAGAAAGAGGAGAAGGTTAAAGATAAGCGAGCTGGAGAGACAGTAAAGAGTGGGGCATGCCATATATTTTTATTATAGCTTTACTTCTGTTCTTATCGCTCTGTCACCACCAGCCTCTTCTTTTTCTCTCCTTTCCTTATTTGTAAGAGAGACCGAGAGCGGCTGCACAGCCTCACTGTCAGTGCAGTTTGTGACGTCAGCAGCTGTTCTTTCACTCACACGCAAAGTCGATGCTCGGCATTAGGGACCACCCCTCAGCTGAACCTCTGAAAACGTGCCTGCAGGATCTGTGTGTGTGTGTGTGTGTGTGTGTGTGTGTGTGTGTGTGTGTGTGTGTTTGATGCCTCAGTCTTAGCTGAACTGCTCGGCTCGG